GGCATGCTAACATTTTCTAACTGGCACTGAGTGCTGCTGAGGCTGATGGGAATGGTGTTTTTGAAAAGGTAAGGGATTACAAAAATGATTACAACTTATCACAAGGAGGACATGAATGCCTGTAGCACATTTTGTGGGAATCCATCCAATAGTTGTTGAGATGTTTCACTCCAAACCAAAAATTTCAACGTCATGGTGGCAATACAGGAAAAGTCATTAGGATACATTGTCTGGTAACTATGAATGTCTCTAAAAGTTTCTTCCCAGATTATCGAAGGTATACCAACTGACCAACCAACCAAAAGAGACACATGCCACTAGCATGACTAAAACTACCTGCAAAACTAATGACAATCCCATCATCCTGAGCTGTACCTTGTGTTTACTTTTAATTAATAAATGGTAGCAAGCTAATTCAACAAACGAAGATGGTGACAATGGTAAACATTATACCTGCTATACATCAACATTCATTCATGATCTTCAAAATAGCTTTCATGTATGACAGGGGTCTACAGCCTGTCACTTCATTTCAAATGCACATAAAGCATTTGTGTTTTACAGTTATGTTCGCGTTCCCTCCCCTATAATAAACGGCCGTCTGAGTCCAGGCAGGCCTTCTGATTGCGTCAGTTTGTTGACGTGTGAACAGCATAAGAGCTTTAATGCATCAGCCATTATAACAGTAACAGCACACACAGGTAATTACATGCTGTCTCCTTGGAGCTGTTATTATTTTTTCTATTATCACTATACCTCCTTCATTCCCTCTCTGTGTGAAATAGTGGGTTGTTGGCTGATTCAGCCAACATGCATGTATTGCACTTGCTGCATTATTGTTTAAGTTGCACTTTAAAAGAGAAACCAGAAAGCATAGATAATGAGAGGTAGCACATGACCACATCACATTGAACATGATTCTACACATAGTCTCAATTCTATGTTTACACAAGTGTGTATGAGTATGTGCGTATATGTGTGTGGGGGAGAAGAAAACAAGTGGATAAGTAATAATAACAGTATATATTTTAAACAATGTTAATTGTCAGTGTGGTCTCAGGGCTAAATATTGTCTTATCTTACCTTTATTTCATAAAAGAAGACTTTTACTAAGCACAAATGGTCATTTTAAGCAATAAATTGAGAATGCAACCATTGGGTCTGAAAACCTAAAAAACTGGCCACAGCGCTTAGTACATCCCAAAATGCACTGGGCCACCTTTGGTGTTTAAACTAAAAACAATTTCAATGTAGGACCTCTGGGTGAAAATTCATTTTTGACCTTGGTGATAGCAAGTCAGTGATATTCCAAATGAGTTTGGTTGATGATGATGAGGATAGACCGAATTGTCATATTCCAGTATTACCATCATGGCTGTAGTTTTATTTTCCACACTGACACCTTCTGCTTGGTTTGCAAATGCGTCAGCACAATCTTATCAAACTTTATGCCAACGCTCAAACTCTGAGGCATAATTGGATAATTGTTGTTGTGGCCGGTATTGTGAAGGTGAAGACCTTGTACCTTACACACATTACAGCTGGTGGGAAAAATATTTAGTCCATTGTATGTCAAGTAAAGTGCAATGACAGCTGTCTAAAAGGGTCTCAATGAAATAAAAACATGTTTAAGCTCACAAAGGTAATATTTATTCCTATTATGACTATTATATAAAATTGTGTCTTATAAAGAGTTCCTTTTTGTGAGCTATGAAAAAAATATCTGCTGCTTTTGGTTAAGTTTATGTAATTATGGTAAATTATTATTACGGTTTATATCTTGGTTAGACATCAACCAGGTCTTGGGGGGTTAAAATTATGGTTAGGTATAGACATTTTAAACTTTGGATTACAGTCAGATTGTTTCATGACTTTACAATACTGTACAACTGTATAACTGAAGTGTGTAGACTTATCTGAGCCCAGGACACAAAACACATTTTGCACATTTGATTTTTTCTTTACTGACCTGAACACAGATCTGTTTCTCCCAAGACTGACCACATTCATATTCTGAGACATTATGCTCGTTTTATAACTTTGGTGCGACGAGACTCAAATGCCATCATATCTCTCATTGAGCTGATTAGACTGAAATAGCCTCATCCCTCCGAGTGTGAGTTTTATGGCATCAGTTGAGTTTGAATGTGTGAACACTTCCAAGTCAGAGCCTTTAATAATCCTGCCACTCTGACAGGTATTCCCATATGATCTGAATGCAGTGGCAGAGCCTACTCATTGCTGCTTTATTTAGAAACACTCACACTTTCTCCTGCGTTGTGCCTGGTGAGTTCATTTGATGAAAAAGTGCTCTTGTGCTTTAGCTAGCTAGCTCCTTAGAAACATCAAGTTGAGTGTTGTGGTCAGTGATTCAAGACCATCAGGTACGCTGATTTTAAAAAGCTTGATGTTTTATTTATGAACTGTAATCGAAGAAGGCGGCGTTCTGACCACAGTTTAATGTGTGTATATGTATGTGTGTGTGTGTGTGTGTGTGAGATGTATGAGGTTTAATCCAATCCATTGTGGTTGATTTTACCAGTCATGCAATGGACACCGGTGGTAGTTTAAAATAAAACTAATTACTCCAGCTTAACTCTCAGCTCAAAATCTAATGTATTAAATGTTATTCAGCAAATTTCAGCTAAGAAAACAAATGGTTGAAATACATACAGTATATTGACAGCAACAAACAGACAAACAGGTGCGGATGAATGAGTATCTTCCTCCAGCTTTCTTGGCGTAGCTGGTGTGTAAATTGTCAGTGTTGAGTTACACTAGCTAGGCAACCTGATGTTCACTGCAGCAATAAGCATTTGCAAAGAGCTTTCTTGTGTTAGTGAATATGAAATTTGTTTGATCACAAGCGGTTAGTAATTTTTAAATATCTGTTCCGATCTTTAAATGTAATGTTTCGATTTCAGTTTTCTCTTCACACCATAACCTTCTTTGCATCCCCACTCATCATCTCCTCCTATTATTTGTGTAATCGTCCTCAATCTGGCTATTAGTACGACTGGTAGTGCCAGAAGTACTTTTACTTCATCTTTTACATGACAGGAAGACATTTGATTTGGTGTTTATATAAAACATTGTGCTGAGCGAGCTTTATTAATCTGTTTGGCCAGTAACAAGTTAATGTACCTCAGCTGATCTATACTTCCTGTTGTGACTGCTGGTATTGACCTTTAGGCATACACTTGCATACACACACACACACACACACACACACACACACAATGCTTATAATATACTAATGTTTATGACCGTTATTATATATAAGAATGTAATTTTCAGATCCAGGGGTGTTGGATGTTATGGACCATGTTTGGGCTAAATATGTAATTACCAGGTATTTGTATAAACTGTGCTGTGCAGATTGAGACTTAACTAAACATAATTACTAAGTGTAATTCCTATTTATTATATAATTGAGTCTTGTTGGGTGGACAGTAGGGGTTTCAACCTTTTTTAAAACATTGACAGGATCAATAATAATCATTTTTAAGCATTAGTATAGAAAAGAAAAACAACAGTGAAACTCTGAGTTGCCAGTTTGTTCGGTACACCTACCGTAGCTAATCCTAATGTCCTCTGCTACACAGTACAGTTTAAATGTTCAGTTTTTCATTGAAGCTGTTTTAGAGATGTGTTGATTTCACTTTATTAACATTTTGGAGGCTATAGATTGTGATGCTTCTGAAGTGCACTGCAATATAACGAGAGGTATTTCTAATATTTAGTTCACTGCATTTTTGGGGCTGACCTTTCTGAGGGTATTTTAAGGTGATGCGATTGAAGATCTCCTTCAGTCCTACTGCATACTCTCATCTCCTCCATTTTACTCATGCCTTTATTTTGTAGTCCCACCACTGTGAAATTGAACAGCCATGACTCTGCTTTATCACATTCTGATGTTCACTGCTTCTATGGGCCTTTCTCTATTTTCAATTACAAAATACAATGCTTCAGGCACTACTTGGGAAATAATTGGCAAAGGAGATAATGCATGCAACTGTTTTCCCAGCAGCCCAGTGTTTTTGGATAAGGAGGAGTGAGGACTGGGCAGTCCTGAGGTACTCTTGTTCTGCACAACCTAGATAGAAATTTGAAATGGAGCCGTGTGAGCTACTGCAGCCAGTGTGTCCCCCAGGATGTCTCCGCTGTCTGCTGCAGTTATGATGGTGGTGGCAGTTGCACAGTAGAAATCAGCAGACAGTCTGACACTGGTTTAAGCACATGATACACTGACAATGAATCAGCCATTAGTGGAAAGTGAAGATATAACTTAACTGCTGTCAGCCTGGTTACTTACTGTAGCCACAGTGACGTATGAATGAGTTTCATGACCACAGCAATGCGGCATGTCACCTGTTATTCACTCTAAAAGCACCCTCCATCACTACCACACGCACACGTACAGTGTATTAGCACCACCTCAGTCTGTTCACTTATATTCTTTCGCATTTCATTTTATTGGTGATCATTTTGGCTCTGTTTAAGCTGCAGTAGGTAATTATTATTAAAAACATTTTTTGTCATATTTGCTGACACTTTCACTATATCCTGACAGTAGTACACGAGACAGATATTCTATGGAGAGAAAAAACAGGTTCCTCTTGCACTCCTAATGGCATTTGCAAAAATCCACCGGGCCTGAATGAAAACAACCAATCAGAGCCAAGAAATTACATACATATTGTATGTTTAAAGGATGCAAATATAAAATGTACAATAACTAAGTATAAGTGTAAAATGTACAATGAGTATAGTGACAACAGAGATATAAAGTTACATTATAGGGGAACACTATAAAAAGTACAAATATTTCCAAATGTCCTAAATTTATCAGACACAAATGATGAATATCTCAAATATTTTAAATATATAGGCCTATAATGGCATATGGATATCGTAAGATGACATTTATGTAAATAAATGGGACTGTATGGTATATAACAATGATGTAGTGATTTTATTCATTGAAAACGAGCCCTAGTAATTATAATAATAGACTATTAATATAAGTAGTCAGATGCTAACTGCTATGGCAAATCAAGTCACAACTATTATCATTTCATCTTTTTCAGCTTTCAATGCCCTTTGAGCTCTTGAGTTATGATCCGCAGACATACGAGCCAGTCCGAACAGACTCTGGAAGATGCATACGAGCACAAATAGGTAAATCAATCACCTTAAACATGGAAGTCATTCAGTCTGTTAGTACACAGCTGTATGTACAGAGTACAGAGGAGGAGCTCCACTGAATGTACTCCTGTTTCTGTACACAGGAGAGGCAGGGATCCTGGTAGCTCCTCTGACAGCTATGAACCAGTTCATGGGCTACGCTGGGAACAAGGTCCAGTCTGAGAAGAAGCTGCTTAAGAATGTGTTCAAAACTGGAGATGTCTATTTCAACACTGGAGACCTCCTGTTCCACGATTACAGGGACTTTCTTTACTTCCGTGACCGCATTGGAGACACCTTCAGGTACTTCACTACTAAAGTATTAATGTTACAGTAGGCAAGTTTGTTGCGAATGAGAACACACAATTGAAATGTTTTGTTAGTGTTGAATAGAAACCCTTCACCAAAGTTATCTAATGACCAAAATCCACAGTCCATGACCGTTTAACAACAGTCCCGCCCTGAAGACGT